TGGTTGTTATAATCATGGTCGTGGTTCTTATAATCATGGTCGTGGTTGTTATAATCATAGTCGTGGTTCTTATAATCATAGTCGGGTTCTTATAATCCTGGTCGGTTCTTATAATCCTGGTCGGTTGTTATAATCGCGGTCATGGTTGTTATAATCATGGTCGTGGTTGTTATAACTCGCGGTCATGGTTGTTATAATCATGGTCATGGTTGTTATAATCACGGTCGGTTGTTATAACCGCGGTCGTGGTTGTTATAATCATGGTCGTGGTTGTTATAATCATGGTCGTGGTTGTTATAATCATGGTCGTGGTTGTTATAATCATGTCGTGGGTTGTTATAATCATGGTCATGGTTGTTATAATCATGGTCATCGTTGCTATAATCATGGTCGGGTTGTTAAAATCATGGTCATGGTTGTTATAATCATGGTCATGGTTGTTATAATCATGGTCATGGTTGTTATAATCATGGTCATCGTTGCTATAATCTGGTCGTGGTTGTTATAACCATGGTCATGGTTGTTATAATCATGGTCATGGTTGTTATAATCGTCATGGTTGTTATAATTATGTTCGTGGTTGTTATAATCATGATCGTGGTTGGTCGTGGTTGGTCGTGGTTGTTATAATCATGGTCATCGCTATAATCATGGTCGTCGGTTGTTATAATCATGGTCGGGTTGTTATAACTGGTGGTCGGTTGTTATAATCATAGTCGTGGTTGTTATAATCATGGTCGTGGTTGTTATAATCATGGTCGGTTGTTATAATCATAGTCGTGGTTGTTATAACCATGGTCGTGGTTGTTATAATCATGGTCGTGGTTGTTATAATCATAGTTGGTTGTTATAATCATGGTCGGTTGTTATAATCATGGTCGGTTGTTATAATCATAGTCGTGGTTGTTATAATCATGGTCGTGGTTGTTATAATCATGGTCGGGTTGTTATAATCATAGTCGTGGTTGTTATAATCATGGTCGTGGTTGTTATAATCATGGTCGTGGTTGTTATAATCATAGTCGGGTTGTTATAATCATGGTCGTGGTTGTTATAATCATGGTCGTGGTTGTTATAATCATAGTCGTGGTTGTTATAATCATGGTCGTGGTTGTTATAATAAGTGTCTCTTTCTTCTTTATGTTGTATCCTATTATTCTTACTCTTTTTACCTATATTTAACCGACTAATTTCTACAAGTTATCATCCAAATACTTGTTCTGATTTTTGTTTTACTTATTGCTGTCCTTCCTTTCTCTCCTTCTCTACTATCCTTGTATACCATTCTTATTCTGTCCTTCCATCCCTCCATTCATACCTCCACCTCTCACTATCCCTCTCTCCTATCTCCTTTCCTCGCTCGCCTCTTAAGGATAATAATGCTTCAGTCTCTCTTCTTCTCCTTTTCCCTTTCTATTGTCTCCATGAATTCCTGTTATTATCTTTTTATCTCTTCTCCTTTTCCATGTACAGTCAGCCTCAGGAATAAGTATACTGTACACACTGTAGCTGTAAGGTCAAAAAACTCAGCTCCTCCCCACCTGTTATCTCTAACTATTTTCTGTTTCCCCTTCTTTATTCTTCTATTTACTCATCTTCCTTCCTTTAATAATCCAAATAACATTAACAAAAGTAGGCTAAGAGAAGTGGGGGAGGAGGAGGGAGCCATACGATAACTGCAATCGAGGGCTGACAGCATACAGCGAATGAGGGTGTGCCAAGTCCTTAGACTTGCATCATTTTCCAGCGTAAATAAAATTGTTAATTAATGCCTTCCTAAAGAAACCATCAACATGGGACCAGGTTTGTTCCACTCTACGATTTTTTTGCGATTTTTCCACCAAGTTTGATGAAAAACGATTGTGCAGTTTCGGCTGCCCAGAACAGACACACAGACAGGCAGACAGACAGACACACGGCTATTCCTATAGTATATTAGATAGATAGTATATTAGATACTCTGTTCAGGATGATATATTCGTATAAGCGCATTTACCGCAAGTTTTGTTTGTGGAACATTCCGTTCTAGAATGTATCTCCTGGGTTATATAATATACTAGTTTATAATACAATAACCTGCTTCAAGTATTTATGATTCTGCTCTCTCTGGCTTGAGGACGAGGCATCGGTGAAGAAATCTGACAAACCACTTTAGTGATCTGTCTTTGCATCTTTGTTTGTTTCAAAGTGCATTTGACGTCTACTGTATCATATGAACTATAAATACCAGTCATTCTGATATATGTTTTTCATTCATCTATATTATGATGTAAGATATGTTATCAAGAGATGATTTCTGTAAAATAACTCAAGTGTACTTTCTATCATACATATATCTTCCTGTTGTGTATATTCAGCTGGTGGTAACAGGTAGGTATTCCTGATTTAAATAAAGGTGATAGACTGGATGTTCTTTGCTTCTTCCTTTATTCATTGTACACCCACACTGAAGTATCCGTGTACAAAAATCAGATGAAAGTTATCATGAAAATATTGCAGGTTAAAATTTTACCACTCATTTTAATTTCTCGTTGTCCTTATAACCAAAACACGTTACAATCGTTTATCTGAAATTTGTTATGACTTTTAAAAAATGTGAGCTAATTTAATTTTGATAAAGTAATAAAATATGTTTTACTATCATAACAAAATATCATCATGTCTGTCGATTATCATTTGTTTTATTTATCCTTTTTCCTCTTTCTATTTTCTTTCAGTATATCTTCTTTCTTTATACTGTACTTCTGTTACCTATTTTTCCATATTATAATTTCTTATAGTAATCAGTAAGAATTATATGGAGCATCCTCAATGAAGCCACTAATTTCTTAAGCTCTATATAGAAGACGAACACACAACCATACATTCATGATCAGTTCCAGCTCGGTTGCACATTGCTGAGAGAAAAGTTCTTGGTGCTATTTAACCAAGAATGTGTGGCCTGTCATTTACAACCACTTACGCTGAGTCTGTATTTAACTGTCAATTTTGAGAATACTGGGAGTCACAAATTCACAAATTACATCGTACACCTCACCTGTTCTATCATGAATCAGAGACTGAGTGAGAGAAACGTGCAGGTAGAGAGAGAAAGAGAAAAACAAGCAGAGAGGCAAAGAGTTAGAGACAATTTTTCCCCTCGTATGACTGTGTATGTATGGGGGGTGGGGGATCCGTTTTCCACCTGCTGTAATGTTTGGATCAGAGACCCTAGTTTTAGTGTACTGGGTCGGAGTAAACGACTGAATATATTATGTAGGTTTTATAACGAAATTATCTCGACTACCAAGGGGTTGCTCAGTTACTAAAGTATTTTATTCTGCTGAGACTGTTAGTTCCAGGTTGCTTGTTTTATTAACTTCAACATTACCTCCCCTTCACTTCCGCCCTCTAACTTACACATACATGAAAGTTTTTTAAGACGATTATTCGCTTGATTTCTATTTCCAATGGCACCTTTTTCTTTATTCCGCAAACATGACTTCCCTTTTACCTTCAGATGCAGAATTACATCTTGAAAAGATTACAGTGATTTACTTGTATATATATATATATATATATATATATATATATATATATATATATATATATATATATATATATATATATATATATATATATATATATATGTGTGTGAATTTCTGCCTCATTTACACACAATTACAGGGTTTAAATATATTGTGTGTGTGTGGTACGCCTACAAGGGACATAATTATCATAAGGTTAGTACGTTACCAAATCTAAAAAAAAGTTTGAGAATTTATAAAATCACGCATTCAGCGCAATTACCCGGCCTGACGTCAGTACGCAGCTGCCAGATTCCACACACTTTTTACCCCAAAATACATAAATACCATATCCTGCTACCACAGGAGACAGTACTTTCCCTTCCCGACGGCGAGAACAGTTCAGTTTCAGAAGTACGTGAGTTATATACACGCATGCCTTAGTTTTCTTTCTTTATATATATATATATATATATATATATATATATATATATATATATATATATATATATATATATATATATATATATATATATATATTGAGGTTGGAAAGTGGATGTCTATACATACGTTGGCACCACGTGTTCTAAACTTGCCGAACCAGAAACTCTGTACATTAATTAGATGTGCAAAAGAGGGCAGGGCAGATAAAATTATTACCGATTTTCATTAATATTCATTTATTTATTTAACCCATTATAAAGAATGGTAAAAACTATTAATACTGTTGAGATAGGTAGTGAGTGATGTAATGCAATTTATTGCACAGTAAATTAACGTACTCACTCCCCACCCCCAGTATTCTTAACTCGACAGGGAACAACTAGTCTAGAGTGTATCTAGCAAGATGTTACAGCAGGGCAACCCGTAGACAGCTATTACTCGCTGGAAACCTACTGCTCATCTATATGGACCACCCTCTGTCTAGATGATTCCACTATTTTACATTAGACTAAAAATATTAGTCTAATGTCCTGCTGTCCTAACAGGCGCGGTTTTTACATCAAAAGTAATTGTGTCTTACTCACACGGTAACCAACTACAACGTTCAGGTGACAGAAGACATGCTTAATCAAACTGGATATTAAGAAAAGTTTTTGGGGAATCTCACGAGGTTGGCAAAATCTCTACAGGGTGCTCCGTAAACACCTTTTATAATTCAGGGGGCGTGTTCCTAAGACATAAATAAGATAAATTACTAAATGACCAAATTGTCAATTCTCAATAGTTTTGGAATTACAGCACAGGACAGGTTTGATAGGAATGTGATGAAACTTACAGTTACCGGACATAAATCCCATTGATTTTTACCTGTGGGGTCACATAAAAAGCAAGGTGTATGTTATAGAGATTCGCAAACCGTGAGGATTTGTGGCGCCGTGTACAGGACAGTGTGCCAAACATTCGCAACACCCCTGGGGTCTTTGAACGTGTGCGACACTCACTAGTGCGATGGGCTGAGGCCTGCATTGACCAGGAGGGGCAGAACTTGAACATTTGCTCTAAATGTTAATACCAATACAAATCATATGGCTTTATTATTGTTAATAAACGTCACTAGCACAGTGTATTGGGAGTTTCATATACACCCCATATAGGTTTCATCACATTCCTACCAAACCTGTCTTGTGCTGTAACTCTGAAACTGTTGTTGAGAATTGACAGTTTGGTCATTTAGCCATTTATCTTTATTTATGTCTTTGGAATACACCACCTAATTTATGAAAGGTATTTACGGAACAAACTGTCAGTGAAGTGAAAGGAAGAATGGTAGTAGTGGTAATAGTACAAGTAGTAAAAATATTAATCACAGAAATAATATTATTACTTCTGTGTTAATCAATATCAACGTTATTAGTGTCACTGTTATATTAATATCAATAATTAATATTATCACCATTTTTTTTCTTAAAATACATAAGAAATTACCATATTCAATTTTGGTTATCATGAATAAGCATCACTCAAATCACTATCCATCGAAAATTACAATGTTCGCTTTTCGTAGATAACGGAAAACAGAGTTTATACCAGTGAAGCTTATTGCAGCCACTTACCTTTTGTTTGACAGAGGCAGCTCTATGGAGAAGCACATAACAAGGCAAAGACTGTATCTGAAAGCCCGCATCAAGATCGTATGGATGTGGCTGGGTGGTATGTCAGTAAGGGACATTTCCGATGAGAGCGGCGCCAGCGTCTCTACTGTGTACCGTTGGATCCGTCGGTGGCAGAAGGAGGGAACTGTTTCGACTAGAACAAATTACAAAAGATCCCTGATAATGTCGTGGAAAGAAGATACAACAGTAGTAACAGCAGCACAGCCAAGGCCACGCGGAGCAGTAGACAATGAATCTCGCGGTCTTAGTTTTTACTGTAACCCGCAAGCGACAGACTATTTACATCCTGTCAGTACCGATCAAAAACTCCTCCAAGTCCTGCCTATGACGTGTACTACAAGGACTAGAAATTAAGTGGTAAATCAACAAGTCTCAAGAAATAAATAACCCGAGACAGGCAAAGCGGGCTCTAAATATGCACCCGAGACAAATATGGGAGTTCACTTCCAGAAATTTATGGAAGAAATTTTAATTTGTTTGTTTGCTTGTTCAACTCTGCAGCTAATCTTTTGTAAATAGAGACCTGAAATATGGTCAATATGCAAAGTATTCAGAAATACACCGAAGGTGGAAATTTATGAGTTGTCTGCAAGGCCCGATCACCACCCCGAAAATGGGTCTTTTTTTATTAAAAAAAAAATCATTTGGGGGTGGTGTTGGCCTAGAGGCTGACCTGCACCCAACATAATAGTGTAGTTAACGCAGTAGATAGCAGAAAAGTTATTAGATATAATTTAAAATACTGAAGATGATTTATTATATAATTATAGTGTAATGGATGCAGTATAGATGATAGTGTTATGAATGCTATATAGTACATATAATGTAATGAATGTAATAGTGTTGAAGTAGTGTGGCTGATGGTATAGTTACGGACAAAGCCTCAAGAACAAACCCGAGCAACACTCGGGACCCCGCATAGTAATGATAATATTAATAATAATAAAAGAGTAAGTGATGGAAAAAAAATATTTGTTGTATTATGCAATAAACATTTTCAGCTTCTAAACTGTATTACTTATTTTTACCTGAATTTGTGTGTAACTTAACAAGTGATAAATTTCCATATTATCAAAGAACTAATTAAGACAATAGATTTTATGATTACGCGGGTGTACATGAAATCTGTTTTTTGTAACCAGCTATAAGTCTTTCAATGTGTCTATTATAATAATAATAAAATGTATATTGTGTTGTTCTGTAATATCAGGTATTGATATTATGGACGTGGTAAGAATTAGAACTATACACTAATGCTTATAGTCTTCTTCCGACTGGTGGTTGTTTATAGATTTTCGAAGAGGAGCCTGAAAGCAGTACTGTTGCATAACGGACCTTCAGTTACCTCTAACCCTGTGGGACACTCCGTGTAAATGCCTGAGTCATATGAAAATATAGAAATCTTAATAAGAGCGCTTAAATATGAACAGCACAACTGGCTGATCTGTGCAGATCTAAAAGTCATTGCCCTTCTGCTCGGTCTTCGAGGCGGCTATACCATTACCCATGCTTTTGTGCTCTGAGACAGCCGGGCAGTTAGCGTACACTGTTCAGAAGGATTGGTCGCCTAGACTGCAGTTTTTACCAGGAACTAGAAATGTCCAAGCAGTTCCCTTAGTGATCCGAAGAAGGTTGTGTTACCGCCACTGCACATCAAGCTAGGTCTTGTGAAGAACTTCGTCAAAGCCCTCAACAAAGAAAATGAGGCTTTCAAGTACCTAGCCAGGAAATTCCCACAGCTCATTGAAGCGAAGTTGAAATCTAAAATTTTTGTGGGACCACAAATTTGTGACGATTTCAAAGACTACTTTTGAGAGTAATATGAATGACATGGAGTAGAAGGCTTGGCTTGTTTTCGAGGCTGTTGTCCAGAAATTGTTGGGAAACTTTCGAGTTCCGGAATACAAACAGCTAGTTCAGAGTATGATAGACGGTTTTCGTGATCTAGGCTGTCGCAAGACTCTGAGCTCATGCATTTTAATTTAGAGTACATTTTAATATACCACATCAATTATAAAACAAGCAATGCTACATTGTTCTTTGTTTCCCAAATTCATTACTTTCTTCAAATACACTATTTTTCTAAAAACGTAATGTAAAATTTTAAAGATAACTTGATGTGATAGACAAAACCTATTTTCGTTTAGAAAAGAAATAGAGCGTTTAAATGCAGACCAGTGTTATTTCTTTGCTTAAATTTAGTTTTACACCTTACTGAGAGAAAATGCTAGAATCATATATGACAAAAAGTTATCCTATGTCAGAGGTGCATTAGTCACAGCCTTTGTAATGCTTTTGTTGCTAAATGAAAATGTTCACCACATACTCTATTCAAGGCATTATATTCCAGGAATTAGCAGTAATAATCGGATGATGAAGACAACTGCTGGGTTGTTGTGGTATACCGTGATTACTGCTATGTCTCACGTTAGTATTACCCAGCTACTTCTCCCCACAGGTCAGTACTGCTATGTCTCACGTTAGTATTACACAGCTACTTCTCCCCACAGGTCAGTACTAAAGAAAAAACAGAGAGCACTTAGTAACGATACTGACGAGTTGACCGATGCCAACCTCGACCGTTGACCGTCAGAATGATGTATAAATAGAGGGAATAAAGATAACATCGGGTTTACAATACATATGTCAATAAATAAATCATAATATCATATTAGTTAGTTTTTACCACATTAGTTTCCTGGCACAGTGGAGCACGAGGTAATGTCAAACCTGGCCAAGGCAGTGGCTGCTGTACTGACGCCACAGCAGAGTACAACTGTTCTCCATCCTGCTCACTGATGGCGCCACTTCCCACACCACTGTATATAAGGTACTGTTAACATACATGAATATTTTGTTGCTAATATTAACACAAAAGACTTCTTAAGTTAAAAAAAAAGGAAAGATTCGAGACGATTGATTTTGCTTCGTTTTTGTAGCAGAAACAATCTGATCAAGTTTATACAGTAGGTTTTAATGGTGTTAGGTGTTCGCTTTCACGGTTTATTGTCAAAACTACTTTTTGTTGGTTCAAGTTGTTTTAGGCAAATCTGATTTTCATGGAATCAGCAGTATTTAACTTATTCCTACGGGTCTGAAATAATACAATAGCCTGATCAGCTTAATAAGTCAGTAGTAAATATAAAGAATATCACAGAGGAAAGAATAACTCAAAAGATCGTCAGTATTATAAGTAGAATTTAAAGACGAAATGAATAATTAAACCAATTTGTTTTATAATGACAAATTTTCAGTGAAAAAAAAAGAGATAAATTGTTCTACATGAAAGTTTAAAAAAATAACCACTTGAGGATGAGAGGCCGATACCGCTTTCCTTTTACGTCACTTCAATGCAGTACCCCCATATCATTAACTGTATAATATAATCATTTTGCTGACATATTTAATGGTGGCATTATTCTTAGATTCGCGGAACTATCATGAAATGAAGAAAAATAACGAAAAATCACTGCAAAATGGTCGTTAATTCGAAACTTGTAGAATTGAGTATAAATTTTCAGTTCTAGAATGTTAATGTATGTTAATATACATATTTGTTTCATAACGTAAAACTTCTGAATATGTACTGGGTCAGCTGGTGGCTCCCTGGGGTGTGGGGCTGTTCGAGGTGGCAGTGGACGGCCAGGACGCTAACGTGACGCAGGCGCAGCTCTCCCGGGTGGTCGACGAGGCTCGGCGGGTAGGTCACTCTCACATTACTACTGAGGCGGGTAGGTCACTCTCACATTACTACTGAGGCGGGTAGATCACTCACATTACTACTGAGGCGGTAGATCACCTCACATTACTACTGAGGCGGGTAAGTAACTCAGATTACTACTGAGGCGGGTAGGTCACTCACACACACTGAGGCGGGTAGGTCACTCCCACATTACTACTGAGGCGGGTAGGTCACTCCCACATACTACTGAGGCGGTAGGTCTCTCTTACTTGCTACTGAGGCGATAGGTCACTCTCACATTACTACTGAGGCAGGTAGGTAACTCACATTACTACTGCGGGTAGGTCACCTCACATTACTACTGAGGCGGTAGGTCACTGTCACATTACTACTGAAGCGGGTAGGCCACCTGCACATTACTACTGAAGTGGTAGGTCACTCTCCCATTAATACTGAGGCGGGTAGGTCACTGACATTACTACTGAGGCGGGTAGGTCACTCACATTATTAATGAGGCGGGTTGGTCACTCTCACATTACTACTGAGGCAGGTAGGCATTCCACATTACTACTGGAGGCGGGTAGGTCACCTCACATTACTACTGAGGTGGGTAGGTCACTCACACACTACAGAGGCGGGTAGGTCACTCACATTACTACTGAGGCGGGTAGGTCACTCTCACATTACTACTGAGGCGGGTAAGTCACTCACATTACTACTGAGGCGGGTAGGTCACTCTCACATTACTACTGAGGCGGGTAGGTCACTCACATTACTACTGAGGGCGGGTAGGTCACCTCACATTACTACTGAGGCGGCACAATTCACATTACAACTGAGGCGGGTAGGTCACTCTCACATTACTACTGAGGGGCAGGGTCACCCCATTACTACTGAGGCGGGTAGGTCACTCTCACATTACTACTGAGGCGGGTAGGTCCACTACATTACTACTGAGGTGGGTAGGTCACTCACACATTACTGAGGCGGGTAAGTCACTCACTTTACTACTGAGGGGAGAAATCACCACATTACTACTGAGGCGGGGATCACTCTCACATTACTATGAGGCGGGTAGGTCACTCTCACATTAATAATGAAGTGGGCAGGTCACTCTCACATTACTACTGAGGCGGGTAGGTCACTCACATTACTACTGAGGAGGGTAGGTCACTCTCAGATTACTACTGAGGCGGGTAGGTCACACTTATATTATTACTGAGGCTGGTAGGTCACTCTCACATTAATAATGAAGTGGGCAGGTCACTCTCACATTACTACTGAGCCGGGTAGGTCACTCTCACATTACTACTGAGGCGGGTAGGTCACTCTCACATTACTACTGAGGCGGTTAGGTCTCTCTCACATTACTACTGAGGCGGGTAGGTCACTCTCACATTACTACTCAGCGGGTAGGTCACTCTCACATTACTACTGAGGCGGGTAGGTCACTCACATTACTAGTGAGGCGGGTAGTCACTTCCCACATTAGTACTTGAGGCGGGTAGAGATCACTCTTGACATTACTACTTTGAGGCGGGCAGGTCACTCTTACATTACTACTGCTGAGGCGGTAGGCTCACCAGCACTAGGTGATATGGGTAGGTCACTCCCACATTAGTACTGAGGCGGGTAGGTCACCTCAGCATTACTACTGAGGCGGTAGGTCACTCTCACATAACTACTGAAGGGTAGGTCACTCTCACATTACTACTGAAGCGGTAGGTCACTTAAGACACATTACTGGAGGGTGTGGAAGGTCACTCTCCCATTAATACTGAGGTGGTAATACCTCCCCATTACTACTGAGTCAAGAGTCAATTACATTACTACTGGGAGGGTAGGTCACTTCCATTACTACAGAGTCGGGTAGGTCACTCTTACATTAATAATGAGGCGGTAGGGTCACTTACACATTTGAGGTGGTAGGTCACTCTCACATTACTACTGCGACGGGTTGGTTACTCTAACATTACTACTAAGGCGGGTAGGTCACTCTCACATTACTACTGAGGCGGGTAGGTCACTCTCACATAACTTCTACCATGTTGACGTCAACAGCTGCGGCAGGTGTCATGGTGCGTGACGGTGGTGGTGATGAGCGACGACCCAGCCTTCCTCGCCGCCTTCGCCGAGTGGTCCCTCAAGGGCCGCCTCCTGGTGTGGTCGACAAGGCTTCTCGTCGTCACTGTCCTCCCGGCTCAAAAGTTAAGAGCCCTCATAGCCTCTTACTGGACCTTCTCCATGATGAACACCATGATTATCAATAAGGAAGGAGCCGCAATAAGCAGGTAACAAATATTATACTTTTATAGGAAAATATTAATGAAGGTTTTAGTCCATCGGTAACAATAAATATTGTCAATATCAAATCGTACTCGCAGAATTTCTCTAAAAAATTGCATCATTGAAAGTACTCCAAAACCGTGCATTGTTTTCCAGGTGCTGTTGGGATAACTTTAAATGCGAATTATTCATGAGATACTCAAAATTACAATATTATGGCAAGAGATGTTGTATGTGGTAAATGTTCCAGGTATGGAGTGTATGCGAGCCTGCCTTACAGCCCTCGGGGATCATATGTGGTGCAGGTGGCCTCCTGGACCCCTCATCTTGGCCTTGTCTTCTTTACCTCCTTACCGCTTTTTCCTGAAAAATTCTCTAAGTGAGTGAACTGTCAATTACGTTAAATAAATAAATAAATAAATATATATATATATATATATATATATATATATATATATATATATATATATATATATATATATATATATATATATATATATATATATTC